TATATCTATCTATATCTATATATATATATAGATATATAGATATCTATATCTATCTATATATCTATATAGATAGATATAGATATCTATCTATATATCTCTCTATATATTTATTACACCTTTGCTTTCTTGCTTTCCCCAGGATTCTTGCCTGCCTCATGTACATTTAAACCATCATATGACCTTGACAGTTTCCTGTCTCACGTAGACGTAATAATGAGTCTGTGCTGCTTGTACAGATTAGAGGTGACATTATTGTATGTATAGGTAAAAAAGGCTAAAAATATGTATTTGAAAAATGCATAGTCACTGTACTTCCCATGACCTGTACCGGCTTTCTTCTTTTAGCTAAATGTGAATGAATTCTTGTGCGGTGTGACCATGAGCCGTCATCTGTATAGTAAAAGTCTGATATTTTCTGCACCCGTGGCACTATCCGTACATTGATACATGTGAATGGTCATTGTGTAGATGTAAAGATCTTGGGATATTAATGTAAGGGTTTTCCATGTCATAGAGTTCATTACACTGTAAAAACGTCTTAAAAAATCAGTTGACCCCAAAGTGATATTGAAGATTTAGTTAAAGCTTGGTGACAGGATTCATCCCCTGACTTCTTAAATGTCTTGGATAATCCAACAGTGAGATCTGCCTACCATAAGTCCAACATGTACGTTCCAGCTCCTCCTGTTTCATTCCTTACGATATCAAATAAATAAAAAATCTAATAGGTAGAGTGGGAACTTCTCATGGTGGGCACAGTGGGTGTGCAGACCTGGAAGCTCAGAGATCATACTAATAGAGTCCATAAGACATGGATACAATCATCGGGGGTCTAATGCTGCAGCACTTATCAAACACTGGAACATCAGTTTTGGATGGACTGACCCTCCAACTGTAGCAGCTGGTGACATATGTGTAGGACATTTGCTTCTCAATGGTGCTGAAGGATATTGAGAAAGCTTAAAGGATCAGTTCACTTAAAAGTTATATAGATGCTGGAAAGTGAAACCCTGTAATGGTTTCTTATATATTTTGGACTTTTCTGTGCTGCATGTACGGGCCTGCACACCAGCTGTGGTCATTTTGAGGGGTCTCCCACCATCTCATCATCATTTTTGTTAAGGAAAATGTAACGGAAGCAACTGGAACACACAGGGGTGTACAAACTCCAAAATGGGCAGAAACAGAGTCGGGAACCTCAATAGATAGATCTTGTGCCTGAAATCTCCAGGAGGTATAAGAAGCCAGGGGGTGATTCAACACAACATCTCCAAGAGGTATAAGAAGATAGGGGTGAATCAACCCAAAATCTTCAAGAAGTATAGGAAGCCAGGGGTGATTGAACTCAACATTTCCAAGAGGTATAAGAAGATAGGGGGGGATTCATCCCAACATCTTGAAGAGGTATAAAAAGCCAGGGAGTGATTCCACCCAACATCTCTAAAAGATATAGGAAGCCAGGGGTGATTGAACCCAACATCTCATAAAGGTATAAGAAGCCAAGGGAGGTTGAACCTAACATCTCCAAGGGGAATACAATGCCGGGGCGAATTTAACTCAACATCTCCAAGAGGTATAAGAAACCAGGGGGTGATTCAACCCAACATCTCCAAGAGGTATAAGATGATAGGAGTAATTCAACCCAAGATGTCCAAAAG